ACCTCAATTATAGTGAGTACCAGATTAGTCCCCCGTCAACCGCCGGGACCTTCCTTTAATGCGCAAGCTTTCTATCCTCCGCTATGGTCCCTTCCTCCTGTGACACCAACACCTCCTGGAAGTGACGCGTATGCAACACAATGGTGTTTCATACAGTAGAAGGGACACAATCATGATATGACGGTAGATTTTTCCCTTCCTCTCTCCCTTCCTCTCTCCACTGCCCTCCAGCTGCCACTGCAGCACCATGTGGAATGAACGGAAGTGTGCTAAGCAGGTGTTTATATAGCCCTAAGAGTGTTATCACAACTATCCTGCTACAAAACATTGATATCTCAAATCCTGTAAGCTACCCGATTTGTTAGCGGTTTGTTTATCCCATGAGCTTCCTTCTCACTCACTTCATTTTGCGGACGGACACACATACATACATACACACACACACACATACAGATAACCGACACACAAAGTTAGCGCTTTATAAAATAGGATATAACTTTTTGTTGAATAGTTGCTTGAGCGCTTATTCAAGGTGCGTTCAGGGACTTATTACCTTTGAAGGAAAAAGTTTCTTAGCTGATCTATAATTAAAATTTAATAAAAGGAGTCCGATGAAGAAGGAGAAATGATACGACCGAAAGAAAAGCGTAATTGTGTTGTATTGATCTATTGATCATCAACAAAAGCGCTCACCCTTGTTCCGTTTCGGAAGGTGGCGATGTCGAAATTAGGCAGAGCACCGTTAGCTCCATCGTGGAATCCGAATCGCCTCCACGTCCCATTCATATTTAATATCGTCTGTAGTGTAAGCATCTGAAGTACATAGAACCCCTTAGCAGCCCGAAGAGGACTTTATTGATCAGATAACACCCAAAAACTCACAAGAAGCAAAAGCGATCTCGCAATTTTGCGAATCCATTGGATAACGTGATAAATGCATAGAGCACGATAAGTGAAGTGTTAACCTGAAATTATAACTATTCTTGGACTTCGAATGACCCCCTGGGGAGCTGCTCGACCACTGAGGTGACATTTTTAGCGCGCGAACGAAGCTCGACTCTCAGACTAATTGCATCAAGCCGCGAGCGTGAACTCCATTGTCGGAGGAAAGCAGTCGAGAGAGCGCACCCGCTCATAAATATGACACAACCTCGCTACTTTGGGTCTCGAGCAGCCCCTCAATGGAGAGCGAAGTCAACTCGAAAAGTTCCGGGTTACTCACCTTCTGTCATAGATGAGTTTCCCGTCTGAGCGAATCTTCAAAAAGCGATTCTCCTTAAACAAATATAAATATACAAAACAAGATCAGAAACAACTCCAAAGTCATTTTAAGTGCCCCCAGACAGTGTCAGAATGTCATTAAGAGTGCTTCATTCCTAGGATTTGATCTGGACACCGTCTAGAAACTCACGGGGGTGGAGCGTTTGGGTGCTTGACAACTCCACACCCAGCACACTTTTGTGGATCAAAACCGTTCCCGTGATTGAGATCCACTTTTGCTCGAGGATTCTAGGTACGATACATATTGCTTTTCAGCATTGTA